ACAAATGCCGAAATCTAACACATTACATTTTCGAGCGAGTCAGCCAAGGATGCGCTTGAGCTTTCCGTTCCGAGTCTGTTGAGATGATAACATTGATAAGACTTGGACCATTTTTCTTCTCAAACGCCTAGAAAAGCATAAATTGAGTTATTTTTCAAGATTTACAGACTATTGCAGACTAAAGCTCACCTTAGACAAGGCGTGCTTGATTTCAGACACAGTCTTCACCAGATATCCATCACCTCCTAAGGCAGCACACATTTCATCATAACGACATTCAGGAGATAGCGACAGAACTGGATAACTAAAAGAAAAGTGATTACACTTTTAGTTTGGAGTACGGAGAAATTGCGCTCACAGTAATGTTGGATCGCCTTCGACTGCGTTCATATCTTCTGGCAGCATGCCTCGGTAAATTCCGCTGTTATTCAAAATTACCGTAACAACGGGGAGCTTGTACCTGGAATGGCGCAATAACTTAGGGAAGAATAAACACGACGGAGAGCTAAAGAATAACAAAAGGTTTTTTGGGAATAGACCTTACACTGACTATTCTGGAATTCCCATTTCATTTTATATAAATAATTTTAAAAATGCAAGACCAGTAAAGCAATTATTCCGCATTTTGTGCTGTCCCAAAGTAATTCGGAATCGGACCTTTCAAACCTGAAACGACCATTTGACGCCTTGCCTCTTTACAATAGAGATTTTCACACGTAATTCGTAGTATTAATGTAGCAAATGACAAGACATAAGGTAGGAATTTTGGAATGTATGAAGGTTGCATAGATGTGAACTTACATCGCTATTACACCATACTATACGAATTCAAAACAAAAAACATGCTCAAATATAGTCATTAAGTGCAATTTGATACGGCAATTATATAAGAGTGGTGGCCTTCAGATGCTTAACTTGTAATCACTGACTAATCAGAACCAATTCGGTTAGCGAGGGCTCATAAAATCCTTGAGTTCCATTCTTGAATACAGTTAAACAATATGAACTGATTTACCTGAAGTTTATAGGCTAAATGAACTTATTGCCATATAAGGAAAGAAAAACTTCCGATTGTTCATTTTAAAAAAACGATTGCATTGTATATTTCCTGTTCCCTGTGATATTATTACATCTCAATAATGCTGTATATGGCAAAAAGAGCATTGAATAATTCTATAATATGGAAATATAGCGCATTTTTAGATTACCTAGTAAGCCATTGAATACCGAACAAAATAATAGGACGATCCCCATTGGAAGATGGGAAGACTGCTCTTTGAGAGATTTGTTGTGTGTTTGTTGTGTGATGTGCACTTACACAACAAGTATTAAAGCAAAACCTTTTCAACTATACCTAGCAATAGTTTCAATCTCCATGCCAGAAAAACCGAATGCACTATCCCCCTGAACTACCAGTACCTTGGTAGTGGGGGAATGATCGCGACAGTATAGTGCTGCAGCTAGTGCATAACCCTGTCCAACGCCCATAGTACCTTA